AAAAAAAGAAAACTAGTTTTTTAAAATTTTTTTTATTTTAAAAAAAAAAAAAAAAAAAAAAAAAAAAAAAATATATATATATATATATATATATATATAGGCTTAGGATTTAAAATCAATCACCTTCAAGTAGGGATGATAGAGATTAAGATACATATATTTTGTAATATTTTTTTAAGTAAAAAATGAAACGCGTGAAGCGTGTCGTATTGAAGTTTTATTTCAAATTGTTCAAGAATTTAAAATGAAATCAAAGGGCATAGAGTCAATTTATATCACATTCATCATGTTGATTTAAGTTATAAAAAAGCTACATATATCAAAAAGAAATTAAAAGAAATTAGACTTTGTAATTTATCATTTTATTGATGAGGAATTAGCTTTATAATATGATGGAAAGATCAAAAAAGTAGATGTTGCATAATATTGCCCGTTAACAGACGTAAAACAATAAAATTGTCATTTAAAAGAAAAATGTAAGTGCCAGACCTTGACATTTCAGGGATAAAAACAGAGATGAACTATAAGGAACTTGTAAAAATGACACAGAGAATTAAATATGCATCAGTGTCTGCTGTAAGGTTGTTAAGGTTAAAGGTATCATACAGAAAATAAAAACAAGTCCAAAAACTAGAATAAGCAAAAGCTTCTTAAAGGTAATTTACTGAACATTTTTGACTTTTTTCAAAAAACATTAAAAAGGAGGGAGTTGACAACTCATTGTAATAATAGTAATAAAAATATGCTTTTTGTCAAAATTCAAAGTTAAACTTTAGTTCATTTCAGAAAATGATCCTGGCTCATCCACAGATCCCCGTCTTTGACGCTTTGAAGCGATGCCAGGTGACTCCTCAGAGTTTCCAGAAGCACGTTTTCCTGCTCTCACTGGTACTGATGCTTCAGAGAAAACAGAAAACTGTTATTTTAAATTAATTCAAAAATAAGAAAAATAAAACAAATAGAAAACATACCAAGTTGTTTGTTAATCTTTTCTAGTTCCTTAGTCATGGCATCCTTCTCTTTTTCTTTTTGGAGAATTTCACTGAACCATTTTGTGGAATGGTCATTATGATCCTTTTCTGCTTTTTCTATTTCTTCCACTGCTGCACAGTACCGATGAAGTACATCTACCATAAAAAAAGAATAACTAAATGTTCTATACACAAACACATAATATAACCAGTTCAGAATCCTGATTCTCATCATTGTCTGCCGTTTTAGTCTAGATTTGCTGCTAATTAAAAAATCCATGACACAATTTTTGGCTAATTTCAGCTGGAAACTCCGGCTTAACTCTAGATTATATACAGAGAAGTCCATTGTCAGATTAGTGACTGCATTAATAACACCTGGCAGCTGCCATTCCTAAATCTTATGGAAGAAACAAGGGTATACAAACCTAGACAAACAAGATCCTTATTGGTTAATTAGTGACAATAGTAAATATTAACCTAATAAATATTTCAACACAAGATGAATAAAAATGATTTCACATGAGACTGAAAAAGCTGTCACCTATTTGTTCCTTCAGTTCTTCGTAATTGTCTGGTAGAGGAGCTCCAAACACATTTTTCAGTCTGTCAATCGGTGGCGCTCTGTTCTGTGAACCTCCAAATTTGCCCTTGGCACTGACTCTTTCCCCAGTTCGGGTCAATATGGTGGGGCACTGTATACGATTCTCCACAAGCTGCAAAAGACAATCTATTTATCTGCTTGCTAGTTAACATGTCAGAATCCTGTCAGCTAAAACCCCTCACCGCCTTTCTGTAGTTGGTGGCTGAGATTAAGTCATCCATCAGAATCGTGTCGCCAAGGAGGTTTTTAAACACTGGCAAAGAAAACAAGAGGGAAGCTTTCAAATATGTGAAGATTTACCCAAAACCCTGCCAGAGTGACAGAGTAATGTGGAAAATACACAAACAACAAACAGAGATACTTGGAAAAAATCTCAAAATTGAAAAAACTGAAAAAATATTCTAAGCCATAAACAAGAGAAATTTGAATCAAGAGGAAAGTAATCACCTTTTATCAGGTTATTGCGATCACAACTCAGCTGTTTGTCACGATAAATCAGGTGTTTCCTGGCAAAAGTTGGGTTTCCAGAAGGTTTAAAAAGTTCTTGCCGGTTACTTATATGTGGCAGGGGTCTATAAGATATGGTAAATAAAAAAAAAATCCAAAAGAAGGAAATATGAATTTACAGTACTGCAAAATGGATTCTCATTGTCAACTTTGCATAAAAAGGCACAAGCAGATTTAGCAATTTTAGAAAAATGCCTATATTTTATTTAACCAATCATTTAACCTTATGTCAGATCATATTTCCAGAAATCAATTACATTTTATTTTGCTATAACTCAATGGTGCCCAAAGTCGGTCTTCAAGGGTCAGCATCCTGGTCTCTCCCTGGTTTAACTCACCTGGATCAAATGATGGCTCGTTAGAAGGCCTAAGAAGAACAATGACATGCTGAGGAAGTTGTTACTTCCACCAGAGAAAGAACTAAAACATGCAGGATGCCGGCCCTCAACGACCGACTTTAGGCACCACGGCTGTAACTGATTTGAATCTTAGGCTGTTTAGTCATTATCAATAATCTTTTACAAAATAGAAATTGCATATTCAGATCAGAAAACAAATTTACAAAAAATAACCACATCCTCGTGAAAAACAGGCACCAAGTGCTCAGTCACAAAATGTCTTATTAATCAAAACAGATTAATTGTAGGTTACACTTCCACCAAGTAGAACAGGTCAGTCTGCAGAGGATAATTTTTTCCCCCAGACTTTGTCTCCCTCTTGTGGCAATAACAAAAGTGATGCTAATGTATGTCCTATTTGTATTTACAGGAAAATTGATGATTCAGAAAAAGCACTTGTCAAATAATTGTAGGAAAATATTACAAAAACTTCTAAAAACACCCAAAAAATAATTCTTAGAATGAACCAAAATATTTGTTACAGTTTTCAGGAGATTCAAACAATTTTTTTTTTTGGTTTTACAAAATATTGTTGTACCTGTCTTCCTGATACACAAACATACTGTCGAGGGCCATGACCTGCTGATTCCCCTGTGTGTCTTCATAATGTTTCTGAGCTGCTTCTGTCGTTGTGGTGATGATGCAGTCCATGTCTCCCTGCAATTGCCAGGAGATGACCCTTGCAATATCATCATCAGCAACAAAGGCCAGTTCACCAACCTGCAATCAGCAAGACAAAGCCTGTAAACACGGACCTCAGAACAGAAATACGGCTTTGAAAGTTCTCATCACCATTTCAAGAATGTCAGGACCGCTGAAATTTCTATGAATGGAAAAGATTCTTCTTGGAGTTTTCTCTATTGTTTCCAATTCGGATGTCTTCTGCTCTAAGCATCTTTTACTATCTGTGATCTGAAAAAGTTGAATATACATGAACGCCATCTTGAAAAAACGAAATGACAGCAACTTAAAGAGAAAAACAAAAGTAAAAGTTCTCCAAAACGTACTGATAATGGGTGTTCTGTTCTTATGCCTCTTTCATTCAGCTCATTTCTCAGAGAAACTTCTTTCTTAGTTGAGTCTTTGACGTTATCTAGAGTGAGAAGAGTATATTAAGCTGTAAACTACACAGAAACAGGGAACATAAGTGATAAATGGGGCAGAGAGGAATGTTGACAACATTTTAGTTCAGAAAATCAAGAATCAATCCCAAGCTGGGATTTGAACCCAGGACCTCCTTGTGGCAAAGCAACAGAGCTCAGCATGTAACCCACACAGAGAAACAGTAAACTGCAAATATCACAAACAGAAGTCTTACTTTTGAGCAAATCCTTTTCATTGCGAATTTTATCAAATAATTTATCACATTCTTTTACAGACTCAGTCAGTTCATCCTTCTTCTTCATCAGTTCAACTTTTTTTTGTTGGTTCTCAGTATCTAAAAGATCAACAAGAAGGCAAAAGTCTTCAGGACAAAGAATGTATACACCAAAA